AAACTGATAATAAAAAAATGTAAAAAATTTATTGTTTAAAAACAGAATTTCATCTAAATAAGTCAATAAAAGTTATTGCTCAGACTTAATCATGAACCACGAGATCATACCTCAGTTACCAAAGCTTTTACTAGAAGATCCTACAAAATATATGGAAAAGTCATCCAGAATTACTTTAAGCTGTCTAAATCTCCTATTTGTGAAAGTGTAACAAATAATTTGGATTAATTTTAGTGGATATCATGCATATGTATAGAGAAAAAAATATTGTTCTTTCAGTTTCAAAAATAGGTAATTAATGTATTTTGTATGCCAATTATTTTATAAGTACACTTAATGTATTATTCAGTTTGAAACATGGTAAAAACTAAACTCCATGGCAGCTTTCCATCTCTGGACACAAGTGAGACATCCCCAGCTTCCACCCTGGAGATGCCAAGCTCTAACAAAGTGACATCTACTTCATCCCCTGGTAGTCTTGTGGCTTCCCCAGTGTCATTACAAACAGTTCCTGCTACAAGCCTAGAAATAAATCAAGGTAGCAAAACCAGCTTATGGACTACAATATGTAGTCAGAGTCAGAACAAGAACAGCAACAACAATTGCAGTGGCAATATGAACAACAGAAATAAGAAAAAGTCTAAGACAAAAACTCAATCAAAAAGAAGGACCATAAAATTCCATGAATATAAGGTGAAAATAGGTTTTTGTTATCATGGATGATTACTCCATAGTGTTAATTTTTATACACTTTTATTTTTTATTTGATAAGTACTAAATAAAAAGTAGTCTGTACTTGGAAGAAAGTGCAATTGTGCATTAGGGTTTTGTTATTTGTGTAATAATTTTGGTAAAAATTACAGATTTTTTTTTCATTTGTGTTTTACTTTATTCAAGAGAAAGTTGTAATGTTTAACTGTGACCACAGATTATATCATAATAACTTCTTATCTAGTATTAAAAGATAAATGATACAACCAATGGCATATTATTCATGTCAATAATTAATCTTCGTTAATCTGACTACTCTGTAAAACTGAAATGTGATAATTCCAAGTAACTATTGAAAAAACCTTATATTTATCTTTAGGGCCCTCCAAGTGTTAAAAAAGCCCACACAATACTGTCAACTCCAGTAGAGACATCATATGAGTTGTTACTTCATCAACAGCAACTCTTCCTACAATACCAACTGGAGTGGCTAAAAAAGGATCCCCAGCTCATTTCACCTTCTGTTCAGGTAAATCACAATAATACCAAAGATAATTTTACAACAACTACCAACAATTGGTTTTAACTTTTGTGGAAATAAGAGCCAAGTAACATCATTTCATCAGTACCTTTATTCGAGTCATTTACATATAATAAGAAATCATGAATCTATTTTTTAAAAAGTTGTGAATTGTGGATTACGATAACTATGGAAATGATTTGTTAAAATATTTTGAAGTTTTAATTATAAATATGGGTTTGTTGCTTAATTTAAATGCTGGAAACTAGGCTTTGAACCACAGATCAATAAATGATTTTTTTATAGTTGTAGTAAATAGAAGATTTCATTTTCTATTTTATACTTCTTCTCATATCAACTTGTGGTAAGAAAATACCAGATATTTTATTCTCCTAAAGTATGTATTTTACAAAATGGAACTTGCTAATTTGGTTCAGAAGCACAACAAATGATTGCAAACATGAACTACAATTTTACGTGTACCAAGACTTTATTTTGCAACTTAAAAATCATATTCAGAAATACTAATTTATTTGAACATGAATCCAAAAATACTCATGCATTTGATACAACATTCCAATATGTGGTGCATATATTTAACAAATATTATATGATCATTAAACACATATTTTTATACATCATGTGATAGTTCATTATTTTTGTGTGGGAAATTAATACTTTAGCTATCACTAAATTTGCACATATATATGTTCAAGTTAAAGTAATTCATCTTTTTTTTTGCGAGTCACAATTTTTTCTTCAGTTTTTATCTATTCCACTAGGTTTATTTTGAAACACATCTTTAGTAGCTGTAGTATCTTTTTCTTGTTCTTATTTGCTTGAAAACTAATGGAAAGAAATTGATTGCTTAGTTAGTTATTCATTTAAAATTTCAATGATTAACTTGTATTTTTTCCAGTGAGTTCTCATTTGCAATTATCATTTAAAAACATGTCTACTTAAAAGAGTGAATATTCTATTCTTATCATGAAGTATTAGCTGCTTCATGATGTATGGAGTTGCATAAGTGAGTATATGTACATTATTATTTATTTTGTTTGTTTGTTGTTAAGCAAAAAGCTACACAATGGGCTGTCTATGCTGTGCCCATCCTGGGTATCAAAATCCAGTTTTTAGCAATATATACCATCAGACTTACCACTGACCCACTAAGGGGATTTTTTGTGTTATGAATGTTTTAACTTATTTGACAAATAAAATTATAGCACATTAAATACTGTGCTGTATTTTTCATAGCTAACTGTAACTGCATGATTGGTATCACTATTATGTCCAAATGCTAATCTTTTTTTTTTACCATTCTCTCTATCTAATGGTTAAGTATTTACTGATAAAATAAAAATCCTTTACTTACAAAACTTTGTTAACAGAAACCAAATGAAGATCAAGTCCTAAATTGCCAGGATTTATTCTCAACTAAACCTCCAACTCCTTCTAGTCAGTCTCAGTTTAAAGACAATAATGACAAAACCTCTCAGCAAGGTTATTCTAAGTTAAAAGCTCTGAAAGGTAAGCACATCTCCATTCTTCGCAAATAAAATGTTTATGTAAAACAGTTATGAGTTCAGTGGAAATAAAATGAAATATACAAAGTATTTAAATCATTGATATGTGTGCAAATTAAGCTAAATGTTTAGTTTTAAAATCCTTTAGTAAATATATAACATAATTGTGAATTAACCACGTGAGTTAATGAGAAATTTACACAACTTGTTTTAACTGTAAAGCAGTAATTTTACAGTGTACTTGGTGAACTCTACTGTGTTGATAACTTGTTTATCATAATCCAAACATTTTCTCACATTTACTGTTTCCTTTGATTAACATTTAATTCTATGGTTGTGCTTGAGATAAACTTAAATGCCTTTTATTTAGCCTTTCAATTCAAAACTAAAGATGACTTTGCACAGATAACTCTTTGTGTACATTTTCTTAAAAATTCTGAAACAAATAAACCAATTACTGGAATTTCATCCAATCACAGTTCAACATTCAACTGAGTAGACAACCAACTTTTAAGTAAGTGACCAACCACAAACTTGGTGAAAGTATAATTTAGAGTATAACATTAACTTTATTTTTCATTCTTTATTAACCACCATGTACTGGTCACTACAAAATAGATTTTGGAAGTTTTATTGTGAAATTGTTTTTTTATTTCTGTCAGTGAGTGATTTAAAAGCTGAGCTAAAGAAACGAAAGTTGCCAGTATCAGGGTCAAAAACACAACTTATTGAACGACTGAAGTCTTATTCTTATCAGACAACAAGTTTTGTCACAGTTGCTTCAACAAGTTCTGTCACAACTGTTCCATCCATTGTAAACAGCAGTGCTCTATCTGAATCAGTAAATGTGGGAGGTATCCTTCCTGACACACTGTCTTCTAGCTGTAACATTCAACCTGTGTCTTATGGAGTTACTTCAGATACTTCCACTACTGTGGCTGCTTTACTTAGTGCTGAAGACACTGTTGGGGCATACCACAAAACTAATATAATACATCCATTATCAGTTGATCCAATGGATATTGATAGAAACATTAAAGCGGATTCAATGGAGATAGAAGAAAGCACTGTTAAGGAAGACATTCTAAAATTTCAGCAAAAATGCATTGAGGAACTTCAGTGGGAGCTTCATAGGTTAGTGAAAGTTTTTTTTTTTAATCTCTAACTATGAAATACAGAAATTAGTTACTTTTTAGCTGCAAAATATGTTTTATTTTCTCTAACATTTGGACATATATTAACATATCATCCACATTAATTACCCATTATTCACATATATATATAAAAAATATACTATATAAATCAAAACATGGTTTGTCAGCTTTCTGACAAATTATTTAAAAGAAAAAAACTTAAAATTTACTTCGAAGTAGGAGTTGTATCAGAGTCTAACACAAATTTAATACAGTTACTTTTTGATATTTTTCAAGATTATAAATAAAAGAGCAAATGCATCATTATAATATGATTTTGATCATGAAATAACAGGAATTTTTCAGTTTACAGTAAGAGGTGAGTTTACAACTGGTAATAAAGTCACAGTTAATGGTAATGTCACAATTAATATGTTATATATATGGTTCAGTGTTGGTTTTAGTTGTCCTTTCAAGTCAAGTTCATTTTATTTTTGTCACCTTTGAAAAGTTTGTTGCTCCTTACCTTAAGCACCATTCTTTGAAAATTCAATCTGTATGTAAAGGAGTACAATCAAAACTATATTCTTACCCAGTGTTTATTACAAAACATAAATATATAAAGCACCAAAGTCTCCAGCAGAATACCTTTTTAAATAAGATTACTAAATCAAAATTATATACTTAAAAATCTCACTTGAAGATGAGGATGATAATACCAATTCAATATGCAGTTATAATAGTTTGATGACCATCATCAAAATCACAGAATATATTGGAGTGGCTGAAGACTTTAGAAAAAATGCTTGAAAATTTGACTATCAGCATATGCTAAGTAACTTAATTACAGTAACCATGGAACTTTCAAGCTAAGATGAAAAATCATCAAGAAAATTGATGCAATATCAAATTCAGAAATAGGATATAGTGGAATTACATATTCTACTGATTATTAAACTAATACTGAGATATTTTTGGAAAGTTCCATGTTTATAATATTTAGAAATAGTAGATATACTAATTAATGATAAATGAACATAACCATTCATGTAATAACACTTCACTTACTCTTATAAAAAGTAAAAGATTTACAATGAAATTGTTGGAAAACGTTTATTGATTAGATTAATTAAGGTTCCAATATACTTACTGTTATTTATGCAAACCTGTAACCATTAATAACCATTAACCCATATATATATATGTATAAACACACACATACACACATGTATACACTAAATTGTACCAAAGAATGAATTTCAGTATAGTTTTAAATGCTCTTCTAGAATGTCATTATTTTCTTTAATTCCATTAAGTTTCTTCTCAAGGAATATTTAATCATTTAATAGGTATTTATATAGTTTACAAAAGCTAAGGTGGAGTATTTAAGACATGTTTAGAGTAATCCTAAATGCTATATGAACTTAACATTTATTAAGAGAATATTTTCTGTCTTTCAAAGTTCTTTAGTAGTGGATTACAAAAACTAAAGTATTGTAAGATGTCATGTAGCAGAATATTTTTGTTTTACAACAATCTTTCTGTGTTTCAGGTCTCAAATACAACTTCAACAACATCAAAACTTTTTGCAGGACCAATTATGCATGCAGAACTCAGTGACACAATTACCAGTTATCAACCCACATTCAAGTTCTGAGACTATGAATTCGATTTTACCAGTTATCACTACAGCAGCTTGCTCTGGTCCTGAAGAAATTGAAACCAAATTAAACCAACGACAGTTACTTCAAAAACACTTACAACAAAAAATACAGCAACAGCAGCATGGTAAAGTTTACATTTAATAATTTCTTAATATTTGCATTGGGTCAGTACCTGACTGACTAATAACTACAATGATATTGTTATATTTGCATATCTTTCATTTTAAAGTAAATATATGACTATTATTCACCATCCAAATGTTAATATGTGCCATTTGTTTACACTTAGTATTAAACTATTTATAAACAAACAACAGGTTAAAAATAGAATAATGAAGAAGAATAGATAGAAAAAACATAACTAAAAATATTAAAATTGAGTGTAGCTGGTAAAAAGTTTACTAGATTAAATAAAAAACAATTGTTATTTATTTGTTTACAGTTTTGCTGTTATAATTGCATATTTTGTCCCTAGTTATGTTTTGAGAATACAATATTCAATGGTATTTTATCACGAATTAGAAATGTTTCTCAACAAATGTGAGCTTGTTTACATTTCTCCATGCATGATACCAAAACTATATAAAGGGAGAATGCTCATTTTTGGCATTCAGGTTATATTTATTTTGTTGTGAAACTATATATAGGTCCTTAACAAATACATGTTTACTTATATGAATCATTTTTGGACTCATTGGTGGTATTTAAGATTTAGAATAATTATCTGAAGTGTTTATCTACAGGGGTTTCAGATAATAACAGTTATGCTTCATCAACTTCAGCATCAGTAACATTAAAAACCAATCTTGCTACTCATCTTCAAATGAAACACAGTGCTTCTCATGTCAGCACTTCGACAACTAATGTTTTTCAGCAGCCATTGGTAAGTTTTCCACTCTCCCTGGAACAAGAAAAAACATTCCCAACTGTGATGTCTAGCCTTTTTTGTCGTTCTACTTCTACCACTCCAGTGATAAGTGGTTCAGAATCAACATCTGCTAAACTTAGTGAAGTTACCCACCAAAGGTATGCATGAACATTCTTGGATCATATGCATTTATCACTTAGACTGTTCCTATAATTTTAGAAATGAAAATAGAATTTATAAAGTGTGTTAAGTTTCTTAATTATTTTATTTTAAGTACTTCATCATTTATTAATAATTTACTAATGTTAAAGAAGTAAAGCTTAAATAGAAGAATGTTTCTGAAGAATATTTATTCACCACACCAAGAAAATTCATTTGTTAAAATCTCTTTATACATACATATATATATATATAGCTTTAAATTTATCCGATCTACTCTCAAACATTAAGTTTTAAGCTGCAGAACTTTTCTTCCATTTTTATTTTATAAACAATTAGTTCTTTCATACTTTTAAAAGGTACTGGTATAGTAAAGCAAAATAAAAATAAATTAAACCAATCTGTATTTTAAAGGATCCACTCAAACTATTTTTTCTCCTAGACAGGAAAATGTGATAGAAGAAAATAATAGAGATTACTAGGTGCTAGTGTGGTATGCTAATATCATATTTCTCACTCTCTTGTAGTATATATTTCATATAAGTAAAGTCTTTAACTTGTTCTAAAGTTATATTTTTCCTATACTGAAAATATATTTTTGATAGGTACTTAACCTCCTCTCACAAGATTAGCTATTCTCATTCAGTGCAGCCCTCTATATGCAAACATTTTCGTTACACATGCCACAAGCCTTGTGCTCTCCCCTTATTGGAATTAGTACATTCCAACATGTCTCTCATGCAAATCACCATGTGTCGTCTTTTAACCAATAGTAGCATAGTATGCTCAAGTGATGCACGAGACTCCCTCTACACTCCTCTACCGAAGAAAGAGAGTCTGGTGCAAGAGAATAACAGAAGCACCCCCAAAAGCATCCGAAGGATACCCCTGATGATGAGAGAAAGAGATCTGGAGATCAGAGGAGGGGAACCACACCACTTCTGAGCCAGGTATACTTGTCGCTCTTGTGTATAATTTGTAAAACAAACAGGGAAATTGCAAGGTGTAGAGTGGCTAGGGTGCATCAGACTGTACTCAGGAAGTCAACTACATCCAAAACATACCCTACTCTGCAGGGTACCAACATTCATGCAAGGGTGAGATGAGGGTCATACCATCTTCACCTACAACCCAAGAATTGGAGATTGAGATCCACTCCAATTCCTGAGTACTACACAAAAATCAACACCCTACAGCAATCAGGGACTGGCTATCCAGAATAGAGAAGATGGAGTCAACATCTCATCGTTGGGAACTGACGTCTATGCAAAGGTAGGATGAGGGCTCCCAACCATGTGTGAC